GGAGCCTGCAATTACAAGAACAGTCAATCCCAGGACGCAGACGTAGCTGTAGCGCCTTGAAGCTCAAGTTCACCCCCTCCATTTCCAGTTATGACTCCTGGCTTAGTAAACCTCAGCCAGGGACCTGTTTGGTAGATACTTTATGTCTCCCCCATTGCAGATACGGGGCATCAGTTCTGGTTACTCAAAGCATGAAGCAAACCTGGTGCTCTGAACATAGCTGAGGCAACACTTAACTACTGAGAGAGAATTGATTTATGTACATTGACATTGAAAATAAGCTCCTAAGGACAAAAAAGAGATTTAAGCCCTAGAGTCACAAAATTCACTGATTAAATAATAGTGAAGAAGTAATTTGAAATAATGCCACATAGCCCAAGAGACTTGTGAAACAGTCTTCAAGTTGGCCTGTGACCTGGATGCACAGAGACAGCTGTCCTTGGAGCAGGCTGGGCTGTACTCCAGCCTGCCATGGCCTTTTCGTAAGATTTTTCGAATTCGTAAGATTTTACGAATCTTACTGTAGCCTACCAAGATTAGACTCCAGACGGACCCGGCCTGCCTACAAAGAGGGTAACAACATTAAGCACTGCTTCTTTCCACAGCTGTAGCAATGCAGTTTTATGTAAGCTCCCAGATGATAAAGACGACCCTGCCCACTGATGACACATTCATGACAGCAGTCCCACATTTCTGCTGAGTTTCCGACCTGCTGATGCCTTGAGACACTTGCCTTTTTGCAACATGGGCTTTACTCAAATGTCACAGGTTCCTTTTAATAGGCAAGCCACCTCTTAGTGTTTAACATCCGACAGCTTAGCGGTGTTCAATATTAAAGCTTCTTTCTTTCCATTAGGTCTATATATTATACCGTATCTTTTTTCCTTTTATGCAACATTTCTATTACTTTGGTTTTAACATTGCTGCACTACATGCTTGCTGTTCTCAGGGAAGTCTTCTTCATCTCAAGAGATGCCTTGAAGCACTTTGGTTTCTCTGGGGGCAAATTCTCTCCTGGTACCTGGCTCACAGCCCTGGACCAATACACCTTAACGTCAACCTTCTCTCCATTTTCATGGAACAGAAAGGGCTAAGGCCTCTGGGAGAGACAGTTACACAAAGGCTTATCAGTATGATTTTACACTGTTCCATTCACCTCTGTATTCATCTCTGTGTCCAGGACAGACTTTGTCAGCAGCCCACAGTGGAGTACAGTGAACACTTCGAGGTCTAACTCGCGGAAGTAGGGGCGATAGCTCTGCAGCTGTGCCAGAGGATTTCCTGCCTCTCTCTCAGCAGCACTCTGAAAAGTAAATGGAAGAATTAAGGTTGTAAAAGACTTTGTAGCTCAAATAAAGCTATTTCTTTCACACAGATTTCTATATTTTGTGCCAGGTTGAAAAAAAAGACGACGAAGAATTCATGATAGTTAGTAGAAAGACAAGCAGATAGAATCAGAAGCATTTTCATTTCTGACTGTACAAGCCACTAAAAATTTTCTAGAAAAAAATACTTAGGAAACTGGAGTAATCTTTGCTATCTCCTTTCTGTGAATCATTTGCCATTGTGAAACCCATTCTGGGCTTGCACCATAATCACCACAGGAGATGAAGGCAAATGTTTCTATCTTTGATGAATACCAGCATGGTAAACTATGGGCTGCTCTGTTGCCTCTGGTTGACAATCTGTAAGTTCTTAGAGATTCACTCCACACAACCCAGTTGCGGGAGCATGTCTGTAGCACCACATGTATGTTACATGCGACTCTCAACAGAATTGCTGCATTCTCTTGTCCTGGCCAGGGTACGGCATCTAAGGAGCAGTCTGGGACCAGTACTCTAGTTAAATAGGAAAGATTAGATACATTCCTTCCCAAAACTATTTGAGACTTTGCTTATTCCCTGTAACTTTAGTGACTTTGTTATCACATCTGACTCAGTTATCACGATCTGTACAATAGCAGGGAAGTAGAAGCATATTTGCCTGGTTGAAATTCATATGAATAATATTTATTAGTAACAGTGGTAGTAGTGGGGCCTTGTGGGATGCTTACGAGATCCTGGCCCCGAGGATGCTGAGCCCAAAGCTGGACACACTTCCCTGGCTTATCTTTTGGCCAGCACAGATCTTGCATTCCAGACATAGAATCATGGTGACAATACTATAAGAGTTATCCAAAAGAACAAGAAATAAAATCCAGTAATTCATTAGTTGATAGGTTTGGGAAATAGTTCTTAGAGTGTGATGAAAATGGATAATTTTAAAGATGCCTTATCATTAATACATTGATTAAATACCTCAAGGAAAATTTGCAAAATGAGGACCTGTGACTGAAGCAGACTAGAACCAGCAGGAGATACGGTCTTTACCAGGGTTTGTATTTTCCAGATTCATCTCACGATTTCTGACCTGAGTCTAGGAATGGCAGCTTATTGCAGTAATTTGAGAGATGGGACACCGGCTTAAAACAGAAACCTTCCACAGCATTAATCAGAGTGTAACCAATATTATTATTATTATTATTATCAAAATTCAGATGGGAGGCAGGTGTCAGAAAGTAGAATTGAACCACTTGACTGTGATTAACTTTTGAAACGAACAACCCCTCTCTCAAATCTTTGGTTTATGCTTCTACGTCATCTTCCCTATTCTGTCTTTCTTGCAAGCCCCAGGGGTATACACTCACCTTCTCCAGCTCAGAGAGCTCAGTATCAGGCTGGTTTCCCTCAGAACTGTCATCTGCTTGAGAACGCTCTGCAGAGCCTGCTTTGCTGCCATCAGTCTTTTTTTTCCTTCCTTAAAGAGAAAAGCAACTTCAGATACAAAGGCTACACTGCGCTCAACACTGGACAGCACTTGCAGCCAGGGAAACGGCACAGGCTGTACTTCAATCAGCCTGAAGAAAGCATGGAGCATGCACAGGTTGTGTGTCATCCATAGACAGGATCACAGTTCAAAAGAGAGTCAAATGCATTTGGGGCTCCCTGA